TCGGGGGAGGAGGGGGCGGAGGTCGGGGCGGGGGGGGGGGCGCGAGCACTTCCGGGCTCGAGGCTCGGGGCATTTCCTTGTTTGTCCGGTTGTCCCGACCGCACGTCGGTCGGGACGCGGGACAAACAAGGAAATATCGGGACGGTCCCGATAAAATCGGGACGTCTGGTCACCCTATCCAAGCCTTAGACAGGCACTGCACTTACACAGCCATCCACAGGCAGGGACAAACCCAACTGTGTTACACGAATGATCTCCCAGCCACTCATGAACCATCAATAGGTTCCAGCCAATTCCCCAGCCCTGCACCCCAGAACTGTCCCATTTTGCACTGGTCAGAAGCCTGGCCACTGTAAGTTCATTACCTAGTTTGCCACTTTGTCAAAGGAAAGTGGACATGCACCAGCCTTTGTAACCTGGGCAGATTTCTCCAGCACTTTAGACAAACTCACTGGTAAGGATAAAACATTAAATCTGTATCTCTCTCGGCTGCTTTCTGTGTCTTCCCAACCCCAGGGGAAGCCCTCCTCCCCCTGCCAGTTGGGTCATTTGCATTCTTACAGACAAGTATTTCTTCAGTAGAATTTGCATCCTGTCTTAGAGAGACAGTTAATTTCCACAAGCATATCGGGAGCGACCGGTGTCCTGAAAAACTGGGACCTGGGTTGGGGTTCCCCCCAACACTCCTTTCTCTATCCCTGCGGAGTCAGCTGTGTGACTGCTCCCCTTTGGGGAGGTCGGTTTCACAGTCCGTCCTCTCTGAACCCGAGTCACAGGCTGAGTGCCTGGGTGCAGAGATGCTGAATCAGCCACTCTGTCCTGGGCATCCTGTCCCAAGTGACCACTGAGGAGACATTCATGTACTTCCACTATTCTTTCCCCAGTTTTCTTCTCTGCCCCCCGCCTCTAGGACACACACCTCTGTGCTTTCTACAACAGTCTGTGACCCCGGTTCAGCTGCAAAGGGCTCACAGCCAACAGCCTGGACAGTTTTCTCAGTGACAGGCACTTTATCCCCCTCCCTTCCTGAGGTGGTGGTGCCTTCAGATGCAGTGCAGGAACTGGTCTCCACCTCCCCCACACCTGGAAGAATGCTGCTTCCCCCTCCTACAGAGCAGTTAAAGAGACTCTCTCGCATTCGTTCAGCAGTTCATGGGACTTTACTGTTTCCCTATGGGGTCCCAGCATCGTATTTCTTCTTGCTGCAGGTATAACAGCTTGAGTTGCACTGAAAGAATCATTTCCAATAAGTATGTCAATGGCAATAGTTTTTAAAACCATCAGTGTTGATCTGCATTTCAGTCAAAGACACACGAATCCTGTAACCTCCTACTAATAAAAGTTCTGGCAGTGTTACCTTCTTGAATTATACTCTGCTTAACCACAGAAATTTCTGCACCTGTAGCCTCCCATCGTAAGTATCCCTTGCCATGAATCTTGAAAACCTTGATGTGCTGCATGTCTGGTTCTGCAGAGGGTAATCCCACAAAACCAAGATGATAAGTGTCCGGCGCCTGTGAGACTTCTGTGTTGAGGACAGCAGTATTAACATGGGCTATTTGTTGTCTGCGTCCTCTCAGTACAGGGCATTTATTCCTCAGATGAATTACAGGGATAGCACCTTTTTGGCTCTTCTGTTTTCACAGGAGGTTTGGGATGGGGATTAGAGGAATGGTTTTGGGGATGTGTGACGCTCTGTACCTCGGGGGGACATCCTACACCCCCATCTTCATCTTTATAAAATGATTGTGTGGTATCCAATGCAAAGTTTGTCATGTTGGGTGTGTTCGGAAGGCTCGTGATGCACTGTGCATGGTTGTTATAATAATTGTTACTGTAATGTTATAGTAAGGTTGTAGGTTACAATTTCATGTATATAGTTATGAGGCTGAAAATGTACCCTCGTGGCTTAAAGCAAACCCATGCAAGAATTCTCCAAGAGCAGAGAGGCAGTTCACACCTTGTCATGGCAACGGCATGGATGGGACAAACCCAGCCCAGCCTCACAGGAACAATGGACGCTGTCTTAGGCAGCAATAAAGAATCTGTTCGACCAGGGGTCTCAAACATGCGGCCCGGGGAGTTATTTCCTGCAGCCCAACAAGCTCCCCTCACCCACTGCCCCGCTTCCCTCCCAGCGTGCCGCATCCACACTCCTCTGCCTACCTCCAGGCGCTTCCCGCCACCAAACAGCTGTTTGGTGGCATTTAGCACTTTCCAGGAGGAAGGGGGAGGAGCAGGGAGGAGGCAGAAAAAAGGCCAGACAGTGGTGGGGATTTGGGGAAGGGGTTGGAATAGGGGCAGGGAGGGGGCAGAATTGGGGTGAGGACTTTGGGAAAGGGGTGGGAATGGGGGGTGGGAAGAGGCAGGGCAGGGCCAGGGCCTCATGGGAGGGGTGGAGTGGGGGTGGGGGGGGTTGTATCTTTATATGTAAAGGTGTCGGTGATGCGGCCCTTGTGCCAATGTACTAGTCCTCATGTGGCCCTCGTGGTGATTTGAGTTTGAGACCCCTGTGTTAGACCCTGGAGGGAGTCACCCCTTTCCTTTGGGCAGTTTGGGACTGTGATGAGGTAATACTCACCTGACTCTGAAGGTGGGCGGGGGGCAAAGCCAAGCAGAAAGAAAGGACATGATAAAAGGAAGTGACATTTTGCCATGCTCTCTCTCTTTCGCCTATATCTTGTGACAGGGTCGGGGTAGAGGAGAGTGATAG